GAGGTTGGCCATATAGAGCCTCATAGGGAGTAGTCTGAATTGAAGTATGAAATGTTGTATTGTACCACCATTCTGCAAAATTGAGATACTGTACCCAATCCTTGGGAGAGTCAGAACAATAGCACCTGAGGTAGGTCTCCAAACATCTGTTCATGACCTCAGTCTGGCCATCAGATTGAGGGTGGTAAGCAATAGAGGTGTTCAAGGTAACCCCTTGTATTGCAAACAATTCTTGTCACAGCTTGCTGGTGAACACAGGGTCCCTGTCACTTACAATATCAGCTGGCATACCATGCAATTTAAAAATGAGTTCCATGAAGAGTTTAGCTATATCCAAGGCAGAATAGGGGTGGGATAAAGCGATGAAGTGAGCATACTTAGTTAACCTATCAACAACCACCCAAATAACCTCTTTGCCCTTGGATTTAGGTAGTCCTTCAATAAAATCCATACTGATGCTACTCCAAGCCACTGATGGGATTGGTAGGGGTTGCAACAACCCAGGATAAGCAGAGGGGTCATATTTACTCTTCTGACACACATCACACTTCTTAACATACAGCTCAACATCCATTTTCAATCCCTTCCAATAGAAGAGTGAGGCCACTCTCCTATATGTATTATCTATCCCAGAGTGTCCCCCTCCTACAGAATTGTGCCACAATTTCAGAATTTCTTGCCTCAGCCCTTGATCATTCCCAATTACTAACTTCCCTTTCTTCCTTAGTTGTTGATTGATGTAGGAATACCCCTTGACCTCTTCCTTGTGGTCTATCAGCTGTTGGATTAACTCTGTCAACTCAGGATCAGCCTTCCGACTGTCCTTGATAGTTTGCAACAAATCAGTTCTCACAGAAGATAGGGTCAGAGCTGCCAACTCAGCTGCTGGAAGCCTAGATAGGGCATCAGCAGCCTTGTTCTCCTTTCCTTTTTTGTATTGTATCTCAAAATCAAATTGCATAAATTTAGTAATCCACTTAAGTTGAGCTCCAGTGTGCAGCTTTTGGTCCAACAGAAATTTAAGGGCCTTCTGATCAGTCTTGACTATAAAGTGCCTGCCTATCAAATATTGTCCCCACTTCGTGACAGCCATGACCAAGGCCAGTAACTCCTTGTCAGATACAGACATAGCTTGGTGTTGTGTGGATAAACCTTTACTCAAGTAGGCAATTGGTTGTCCTGACTGCATAATGACAGCTCCAATTCCCACATCACAGGCATCTGTTTCCACTATAAATAGGGAGTTGAAATCAGGTAGAGCCAAAACAGGTGCAGTAGTTAGAGCCATCTTGAGATTTTCAAATGCTGCAGTGGCCTGGTCAGTCCACTTGAAATGGTCCTTTTTAAGCAAATCTGTCATGGTTTGCTTATGTGCCCATAACCTCTGATAAATCTCCTATAGTAGCCTGCTAGACCAAGGAACCCCCTCAATTGCTTAACAGTAGCAGGTGTAGGCCACTATTGAACAACTTGAATTTTCTTAGGATCAGTAGCCACTCCCTTGGCAGAGATGAAATGGCCTAAATACTCCACACTAGCCACAACAAACTGACACTTGTTCCTTCTAGCATAGAGCTGGTACTGCATTAGAAGGCTGAAAGTTATCTGCAAATGCTCAACATGATCTTCCAAGCTCTTGCTAAAAATCAGGATGTCATCAAAAAAGACCAAGATAAACTTTCTGAGATGTTCCTGAAACACATGATTCATCAATCCTTGGAAGCTAAAAGGGGCATTAGTCAGTCCAAAGGGCATGACTAGGTACTCATAATGGCCTGAGTGTGTTCTGAAAGCAGTTTTATGAATATCCTCTGGTGCCATTCTTATTTGGTGATACCCAGATCGAAGGTGTATTCTGGGAACCACCTAATTCATCCAACAACTCTTCAATGATAGGAATGGAGTACTTATCCTTGATGGTGATCTGATTAAGTACCCTGTAATCCACATAAAGCCTCCAGTCGCCATCTTTCTTTCCCAATAGAACCACAGGGGATGCAAAAGGACTACAACTGTTTTGAATCAGTCCTTGAGACTTAAGTTCCTTTAACCATTTGCTCAATTACATCTTTCTGAACGGGAGAGTACCTATAAGGTCTTGAGTTGATTGGTTCAGCCCCCTCTTTCAAAGGAATATAGTGATTGAAACACTCTCTAAGTGGTGGTAGCCCTGTAGGCTCTTGAAAGACTGGTTCATATTCCTGCAATACTTGTTGAATCTCGAGAGGTTATGTCCCTAGCTGTTTCTCCTCCTCTTCTCCTGAAGAAGAAACTCTGATCATAAACAGCTGAACATTGTCTCCAGTAGACTTGTGAAGGGAAGAGGATTCCACCATCTTAAGCTTAGGTGTAATTCCTTGTAATGCAAATAGTTTTCCTTCATAGTTAAACTGCATGGTTAGCTGTTTGAAATTGAACACAATGTCCCTTAAGGTACTGAGCCGCTGAACCCCCAAAACCATGTCACAAGTGCCCAATGGAAGCAGCAAGAAATCAGCTGTAAAAACTGTGTTATGCAACAACCATTCCAGCCCTGTACACATTCCAGAGATAGGTACTGAATTTCCATAAGTTAGATTAGCATCCAACACCTTGCAAGGATCTACTCTCCAGCCCATCCTAGCTACCAATCCACTATCCATGAAGTTGTGGGTAGATCCACTATCAATCAATATATTCAAAGGTTTCCTGTGAGAGTACCCCATAAGTCTAATTGTTTGATACCCTTGAGTGCCCTGCAGAGCATGGATAGAAATCTCACAAGTTTCAGCAGTTTCCTCCTCACTAGATGAGCCTTCCCCTAATCCTTCGATGAGTTCTACCTCCTCCACTAATTCCAGCATGTACACCTGTGATTTGTTCTTGCAAACGTGTCCGGAATGAAACTTTTCATCACATAGGAAGCACAATCCTTGAGCCCTTTTTTCATTCAGTTCAGCCTGAGTTAGCCTTCTTCTTTTAAACTTATCAGCTTCCACTGGTTGGGTTGGTTTGGGTAGATGGTTAGCAGGTGAAGTTGAGGGTTTATGGGAGTGCAGAAACTGGTTTGGTCTAGGATTAGAGTGTAGAATGGCTTGTTTCATAGCTTTAGACTGTTTAGCAAATATGGATTCCTGGAGCCTAGCCAGATGATAAGCTTGGGGTAAGGAATAAGGCTTCAAGATCCTTATTGCATCTCCTAATTCAGGTTTAACCCCTTCTAAAAATATGCTCACAGCATAACCAGGTTCCAAATTGAGCCTAGTCATTGCTCTGTCAAAAGCTTCCTGAAACTCTACCACCCCTCCTGTTTGCTTGAGCTTCACCAATTCACTCATAGGGTCATCAAATTCAGTACCAAACCTGTCTGATAAGGCCCACATATACTCCTCCCAGCTTGGGTAAGGGAGTTGCAAATGAGCCCTTCCTCTCATGTAAGCCCCTATGCCATTGAAGTGCTAGGTCATCTAAGTGCATGGAAGTCACCCTAACCTTTTCGTGATGGGACACCTCGTCCATTGAAAAAAATTGTTCGATTTTGTACCACCAATCTTGGAACCCTTTTCCTCCAAACCTTGGAAACCCGATCCTGTATTGTCTCAAAATAGAGCGTGGTTGCTGATGGTTCCAACCAGCGTAGTAATATTCAGGGCCTGGAGTAAACTGCTTTGGAGTAAACTGGCGTGGGATCTGAGGTGTGTGTAGCTGGTTTGTGGGTCGGTGGTGCAGGGACATGGGTATGTGTATTGGGTTAGTAATGGAACAGGGAATAGAGAAAGAGATCTGACCATTGGTTCCCATAGTCTAGGTAAGGTGCTGAGAATTTGGGGCAGAGAGAGGATGAAATTGAAAGGCTAAACTAGGTGTAGATGGAGAGTGTATAGACTGGGTCGAATTGGGAGGTGCAGCTGAAGAAGAAGTGTTTAATGGTTGGAAAATAGGTGCGTGAAGTGAAGCAGGGGTAGGCAAGGTTGACGAGGGGGAAATTTGACTGGAGCTAGGGTTCCAATTCATGGGTAATTGCAGCGGCATGGGCCTATTTCCTCTGAAATTGGAATTCAATGGAGGAAAAGAAATAGGATCATCAATACCCAAAATTCTGAAGGGTCCATCAGTTGGGGAATACTGCTCCTCTCTATTGGACACAGCAGAACATGCTTCTTTCCCTCGATCCGAGTTGCTAACAGTAAGGGTTTCCTTAAGCTCACGAAACGCCTTCTCGTTGGCATATTCCAACTGGTTCTGCCTCAAATTGACATTCGCCACTTCAATGGCTACTCGATCTAATCGATTGAGTACCTCCTTGATTTCCCCCGACATCGTGTATCCCACAGAGCGGAAAGAGCTCTGATACCACTGATGTGGTTTTGAGAAGAAGAATAAGAAAATTGCAGAAGCTAAGCTAAGAAGATGAGCTAAGAGATATCTTTCATAAATCTGAATAGAACAATGTACAGCTTCAGCTATTACAAGGCTCTCTTAGCTTAGGACTAAACTGTAAAGTAAATAACTAGTGGACTGAAATGTAAATAAGACAAGGACTAAACTGTAACGTTTAGGACTTAGTAACTACTATAACTACTTTTATTCCTGTACTACTACTAAAGCTTAAAGTACCACTCCCGTCTGCACAGCTATGACTCAGGTCATATCATACACCCCACCTAACGACCCCTAAGTGATTTGTGTCCATTTGCCTAAATCTTAGTTGGCAAAGTTATTCATACATAGTCGAGGTGCGCACAAAGATGGCCGCGACACCACCGTCGTATAAAAGAGAGCACGAAAACTAAGGAAAAAGTGACTCTATACAGCTTTCCAATTTACATCAAACGAAGCCCTTAACTAGAACAAATCGATTAAATTGAAGACCATGGAAGCCCAAGATTTAACATAAACTTCCTCTCCACTAAAATTCAACCCCAAATATTCCCAAAAATAGGAAAGATAATTTAAAACACAAAACAATAATTCAACCAATAACCATTAAATAAAACCGATGAAAATTTTGAAAAACTTACCTGACGATTAAGGGTAGTTGGGTCATGACGATCCCAAAAAACATCAAGCAAGGTGTCAAAACTACAGTCCTTAGGATCATACTGAACTCTAACAACCTCAGAATGAAAAGTAGTTCCCGAGCAAATATCTTCATAGGAAGGATTATGTAAATACCCCTGAGTATACCCAACTTCAGTTTTGGTAACACCAGGCACTCTTTGGAAAGCCAATTCAACGCCCCAAAAACAGCCAGCTCCGAATTGAGCAAATTGTTGACCCGGTGCAGGGATGTCATCATCAGGACCTTGTGCAATTGCAGAGGAAGATGAGTCCATTGGTATACTATCAGTTTTTGCACCAAAACCCAATTTGTTGAGCCAACTCATTTTGGGGGAAGAATAAAGAGATGGGGTTTTGGAAGTGCGTGGAAAGGTTGAAACTTTACGGAGGTTTTGGGAGAAAGGTAAAGAGGATTTGGTGAGGGAAAGGAGTGGAGATGTTGTGGTTATGGCGGAGGAAGGGATGCAAGTCTTGAGGAGCATTTTTGATCTATTTTTAAGTTAGCTTTGGATAAGTATTTGGAGACTATTATATTGGAGAAATGACGTGAAAATTTCCTTATACAAATGCTTTATTTTCTAGAAATTTCTTTTTTTTGTTTTTTACCCATAAAATCTGAAATTGTGTTCACATCTCTCCTGCTCTTGTACATTCTTTTGCCTAAACAGTGGCACCACAATTTTGGACGTAAATATAAGTTGATTTATACGACCATAGGATGAACATAGACATAGTAAATGGTTCTTTTTTTCTTCACGTGTTAGAGTTTCCGATTAAGTTTTTCGTATTTCACTGCTGTTAGTTAAAAGATTTTTCTTAATATCTTTTATAAGTTAATCGATGTGAATATGTTTTATAACTAAGAAGACGTGGCATAGTGATCTTTTAAGCAGAAGAAATCAAATTCTATTTCTGTTTCTAAAGGGGTTGAAATTTAGTTCTACTTTCTTCTACCTAACAATATGAGATGTTTTGTTATATAATAATTATAATATCAAATGGACAGAGTACGCGGAAGTACGATGCTTACGCGGAATTTGCTCTACCACTCGTAGACAATGAAAATAAGGCTCTATTGTGGTCCGGGCCCAGCCAGGGACCGGCCCAGGCCCGCGAGCCCACATGGACTTTGGGCTAAACGAGCTGGCCCGTATGGTCCGAGCCCAAGCGGTCCTAGGAGCCCACTGTGGGCCGGTCCAGCATGGAGAGACCGCGAGCCCGGGACCGGCTGGCGGGTCTGGGCCGGTTCAACCGGGCCTAACCGACCCAACGGCTATTTTTTAAAAAAAAAATAATTTGTTTAAAAATTGGCCAACGGTTGGAAGTTTAAATACTAGTCGTTGGCCTGCCAATTTAGCCGTTTGGCTTTTTAAAAAATAGCCATTTTCCCCCCAAACTTTGTTTTAACCCCAAACTTTTTACAATTATACTTTTTCCCTATTCTCAACTATAAATACCCCCTTATTCTTTCATTTTTACTCACAAAATCATCAATCTCTCTCTAATTTTCTTCTATAATTGCTTACTTTATTATTGCAATTTGTGAAAAATTGTGAAGTTGGTGAATTCATGCATTCAAGTCTTCAACGATATACAATTTTCAAGAAGTTGTTCGTCAATTCGGTAAAGTCGTTCCAACTCTTAAGTTTTAATATTATAGTTTTGTTTGTTTTAGTTTGTATAATTATAATTAATATGGCCTTTTCTTTGAAAAAAATATTTAGTGGTAAGGGAAAATCTAAAATTGGTGAATCTAGTGGCCAAGCTACTACTCCTCCCCCGGCTCCCCGACCCAGACCTGTTACCCGTCCTCCTCTACCTGTTATTCTTGATAGTGATAACCCTTGTTTTTAATTTACCGATAGTCAATTTTACCATGATATTGCACCAGGTCAACAATTAAATGATGAATATATGAATGCTCTTTTATGGTAATCCAACTATTGATGAAAATGATGAGGAAAATGATGATTTAGATAAAACGCAACCGGATTTAGATGATACACCTACTACTCCTGTTGTTAACCCAACTGATAATAATCCAAATGATGCCCCGCCTGACCCTCCTGTAGTAACCCCTACTTTTAATAGACAACCTTCTAGACGGTGCGAAACATCTCTTGTTTGGCACTTTTTTATTCAACTAAGAGATAAAATAAGGCTAAGTGTAAAACTTGTGGGACTTTGATGGCTCATAAATTTACTGGAGACGTAGCGGTACGGGTAGTTTGACTAGACACATAAAGACACACCCTAAAGATAAAGCTAGATTTCTTCAAATGAAAGCTGCGCAAGAGGTGACAAGTGTAGGTACTCAGGTTAACCCTAGTACCGGATCAAATCTAGTTCAACCGGGAATTAACACTGTTACCGGTGGCATTTTATATTACGATCCAAATAAAGATCATGAAGAATTGGCAAAAATGGTTACTGTTATGTGCTTACCCTATAGTTTTCCTTCTAACCCTCACTTTGTGCATTATATTAGAAGAGTTTTTAATCCTACTTATAAAGGATGGCCTCACACAACCGTAAAGAGCGATATTTATAAATATAAACATGAATATGAACAATATTCATGAAATTCCTCCGAACTTTGAAGGATTTATGAAATTTGTTAGAGATAATATGTAGACTAATATGTAATTTGTATTTTGGCACATCTTCATTAGTTTTTTTTCCTTTTAATGGTGCTCATTCCATTGGGGGGAGGAAGACTAAGAAAGATATTGTCATTTTTTGTTAATGTCGTAATAATAAAAATTATAAGGCAGTCCCTTGAATATTTCTTTACAATTTTTTTGTGTTAAAATTTGAATTAGAAGATTTAAGTCACAATTATATAATATAATTTACAAAATTGTCTTAGATAAAAGAAATTCAAAAAAAATAGCCCGGGAACACTTAGGCCCGTGGGCCCAGCCCACTTAGACCGGGCCCATGTGGACTTAGGCCCACAGTGGGCCGGTTCCACCCTCCAGGACCGTTAAGCACGGGACCGTTTGGCCCGGGATCGCTTGGGCTCGGCCCGCCAGAGCCCGTGACCATTTGGACCGGCCCGTTTAGCCCATTTAGACCCGGGCCCGGACCACATAACAACCTTAAATGAAAAGGGAAACAACAACAACAAACCCAGTATGATCCCAACAGGTGGGCTCTGGGGAGGGTAGTCTGTACGCAGACCTTACCCCTACCTAATGCAGGTAGAGAGGTTGTTTCCAATAGACCCTCGGCTCAGGAAGGGCAAGAAAAAGAAGAGGAAAACAAGGAAGGAATAAATAAGGAAGAGAAAAGAAAAAGGGAGAGATAACGGGTAAGTAGTACCAAATAATAGCAACATGGAATACAATACCTGAGGCGAACAAAACAACATAACGTAATAAAAATCGAAGAATATGAAAAGACATGCATGCTACTAAGACTATCGGTAAACAACTAAAAACCCCACTAACCTTCTACCTCAATTCTCGACTTCCACACCCTCCTTCAAGGGTCATGTCCTCGGTGAGCTGAAGCAGCGCCATGTCCTGTCTAATCACCTCTCCCCAATACTTCTTAGGCCTACCTCGACCTCTTTTCAAACTCTCCATGGCCAACCTCTCACACCTCCTGACAGGAGCATCAATGCTTTTTCTCTTAACATGTCCGAACTATCTCAGCGCTACTCCCACTCTATCACGAATAGCTTCATTCTTAATCCTATCTCTCCTGGCACACCCACACATCCATCTCAACATCCTCATCTCTACTACTTTCATCTTCCGCACGTGAGAGTTCTTGACTGGCCAACACTCAGCCCCATATAGCATAGTTGGTCGAACCACCACTCGATAAAACTTACCCTTAAGTCTTGGCGACACATTCTTATCACATAAAATACTGGAAGCGAGCCTCCACTTCATCTATCCCGCTCCGATGCGATGTGCGACATCTTCGTCAATCTCCCCGTTACCCTGTATAATAGACCCAAGATACTTAAAACTCGTTCTCTTGGGGATAACTTGAGCATCAAGCTTAACCTCTACGTCTGCATCATGGGTCCCATCTCTGAATTTGCACTCCAAGTATTCTGTCTTGGTTCTACTCAGTTTGAAACCTTTAGACTCCAAGGTCTGTCTCCAAACCTCCAACCTCGCGTTAACTCCGCTTCGCGTCTCGTCAATCAACACTATGTCAGCGGCAAATAGCATGCACCAAGGCACCTCCCCTTGGATGTGTCGCGACAGTACATCCATTGCCAAGGCAAATAAAAATGGGCTAAGAGCCGATCCCTGGTGCAACCCCATCACCACATGGAAATGCTCTGAGTCACCACCCACAGTCCTCACCCGATTCTTAGCATCATCATACATATCCTTAATCACCCTAATATACGCTACCGGAACACCGCTAACCTCCAAACACCTCCACAGTACCTCCCTCGGGACTTTATCATACGCTTTCTCAAGGTCAACTTTTGGTTTTTGTTCTTCTTAAAAAATAAAAAATACAGAGTTGTCCCGACTTAAGTTGGGCACAAGTACTAAATAACACTATCAACAAAAGCTCAAACAAACGAAGAAAGAAATCATCTAAGACTTATTGTCTCTGCTTGAATTTGAAGTCAATCTCTTATTTTAATTTCGTTGACCGTTAGGCTATACTAATTGACTTTTAGCTATTTTGTATCTTTTCCTAGAGTTTTCTTGGTTTCTGATGAGAAAATGCTGGGTACAAATAGTTAGAAGCATCGGGAAGGGAATAGCAAAGTCATAGGCAAGCGGTGCGGGTGGATTTTCTCTTAACCATTTCAACCCACCGCCCCTCATAGCAGCTGCATCCGCGTTCACCTGCCCCGTATCCACATCTACGTCCACCCGCCTCGCCCTGAATAAGTGTTTCTTTTTTTCATGTTGTTAGTTTTAATTATTTTTAATCTTTTGGCTGGAATTTTTTTTTATATTTTTACTATATGTACTTGTGTTTTTTTATTAATTTTAAAGATTACGAAAGACTTCAGTTATGGAAAGAAGAAGATAAGATCTTTAAGACTTAAATCTTGCACATATGCAATAAAAGTTACTTAACAAAAATCTTTGATATCATAATAATTCTTTGATTTTTAACTTATTATATTTGATAAAATTATGTATGTTAATTTACTATTCAAGCTTTCATTAGAAATACAAAAAATCTTTGTCAAGATCAATTAATAGATACTTTTCTTTTTGTTAATCAGTAGTCACAACTCTTGTATTTGAGCAAAATAAGAGATAACACTTTGATCAATAAAATAGATTTATAATTAACTAGCTTTAGTGTACGTGCGTTGCACGTGTGTTTCGCGTCAATCAATATAAAATATATACAAGAAAAATAAATTATTGCATATATTGAAACAATATCTTCTTAACATACAAAGATGATGAATTTAGTTGAATTAGTTATATAATAGTTATAATTATATTATCTTGTTTAAGTAAGATAAAAATATGTTATGTTGTTGTATCTCATCTAACATAAATAAAAAATAAAAATAAAAAGGTTTTAAAAATATTGATATTGATAGATTCTTTAAATTTACATATCTAAAGACTACTTTAAAAGTACTATAGTCACATTATTTAAAAAACTAAATATTTAGAAGGCATATAAAAATTACGACAAAAAGAAAAACTCGTTTGACTATCAAA